TTTCAAAAAAAAATTTTTTTACCGACCTCTCAAGCGCCCTAAAGGGCGCACGTGTCAAAATGGTAATCTTGACAAAATCAGTGTCGTTTCACTACGGACATCATCCAAATTGCGGTGCTTTGGAAAAATAATTTCTGTTTGGTCGTATCCGTAGCCGGAAAGTCGGCCAGTTGAGTCTGGCCGACAGAACGGCCAGTTGAGGCGCGGTAACCACCCTCCGACGCGCCTCTTACAGGGTTGCCAGCGACCGGGAATACCGGGAAAAGTCAGGAGAAAAAAATCAACCGGGAAAAGTCAGGGAATTTCGGTGTTGGTCCGGGATTTTTCTGATTTTTCGTGGAATTAGGCGCGGGCGGTCTCGGGCTCGCGTTGCGGGCCCGAGACTCTCATTTTCACTTTAACAGACTGCGTCAGATCCATACTTAAAAGTCAGGGAAAAATATTGGAAAGTCAGGGAAGTGTCAGGGAATGGAAAAAAATAATTTGGCTGGCAACCCTGCTCTTAGACCCTGCAGTGAACTCGAGCCTCTTGCTGCCGACATAGGGTTGCGAATAATTCATCCCAGCTGGAAATTAACCAGCTGTAGTGGACGCATATTTTCACTCAACGCATAATATCAACTTAAATCTGGAAATATATGCGGGTTCTCCAAGTTGACTCAATGTAGTTTATGGAAATAATCATGATTTAGCCCCCAGGCCACTTAATACGTGTTAAACGGTTGCCTAAACATAGGTCTACAGGCGTATTTGAGCGAAAATTCGTGTTTTTCTATCTCTCCGAGGCTTGTTTGACACTGAGCGCGTCGTCTAACTAAAACAAGCTTTTGAAATGTTATGAAGGAGACTTTGGGACACATTTTAACCCTGGTTTGGTTTTAGTTAGATGATACGCTCTTAGTAAAAAAAGACCTTTTAAAAAATCAACGTTTATGGGACATCCGCAAAAATCTTAGAGAATTACGTCGTTAGGGTTCTAAGGGTTTAACAAGGCTTGATAACTGCCCTCGATAATATTACGGAGCGTGCATACAGTTGGAGAGACATGTTCCCTATGATTTTTGCGGATGTCCCTTAAACGTCGACTTTTGAAAAAGTTTTTTTTTTACTATGAGCGCATCATCTAATTAAAACCAAACCATGGTTAAAATGTGTCCTAAAACCACCTTTATGGCATCTTTTCCGTAAAGCTCCGCGCGCGGAGTGAGTATCCTTGCGCGCGGGCAACTTTTTTGTACGCGTGAATATATTTTCCGCGCGTGCAGAGCACATTCTTGCGCGCAGGCATCTTTTGCGCGTGAACATATCTTCTCGGGCGCGGAGAGTTTTTTCTGCGCGCGAGCGAAATTTTTAATGAGCGATATATATCGATACTATGTCCTGTTGCCAAGTTTTAGTTCATTCAAGAAGTTTCCTATTTTATGAAATGGTTAGTATTATTTGTTGTTTGTTTATTTATTCGGTGATATGTAGTGATGTAGTGATAAAGAAAAGTTTATGTACTGATAACCTTAAACAAATCTAAGTAAGTAGTTGAAAGTATTCCCTAAAATTTCTCTGTTTCCTTAATTTTTTTATTCAGGTAAATCATGTATCTTGTGAACCGAATGCTCTAAGATTTTATTCATGACATTCAAACAATGAATTGAAGTTTGGCAACATGACACGGTATCGATCTATATCGATTGTTAAAAAATTTCTTCACGCAGAAAATAACTACACCGCGCGCAAAAATCATCGTACACGCGCCGGAAAAAATGGTTACGCGCGGGAGTAGCTAACCTCACGCGCGAGATTAACACCGCGTGGGGAGCTTTACGGAAAAGATGTCATACACCTTTATTTTATTTCAAAAGCTCGTTTTAGTTAGACGATGCGCTCGGTGTCAAAAAAGCCTCGGAGAGATAGAAAAACACGAAGTTTCGCTAAAATAAGCCTGCAGACCTATGTTTAGGCAACCGTTTAACACGTATCCAGTGGCTTAGGGGCTAAATCATGATTATTTCCGTAAACTACATTGAGTCAACTCGGAAAACCCGTATAAATTTCCAGATTCTAGGAGAGGGCCAAAAAAGGCCCTTATCGATACCCCTCCTTTAAAGAATGAGCAACAGTCAAGGATCAGACACCGATGAAAAAGTAGACAGAAATTTAAACTGTGCCGGGAACAACTGTGCTGTGAGATGTGCTCTTCCTTTAATTAATGTACCGTGCAACTTTTTTTTTTTTTTTTCTAAGAGGGTTTCTTTTTTTACTGGTATAACAAATTATGAGTTTCTATGGGTCTCTAACTCCGCAGGTCCTTAATCTCTGTTATTGGAATGTTAGTTACTCCTACCTCATGAGTGGTTATTGTGCTCTAAACCTCTCAGAGCCCTGAGAGAAGTAAGAGGGAAAGTGATGAAGCAGGTGTGCAGAGATCAATTTATTTTCTTATTTTTGACAGCCACCTGGATGTATCCAACAGAGTAAAATATTGGGACAATCAATTCGAAGCCGTCAACTCCAGGATGTTACTGATGGTTCCGAGAATCATTTATTCGAAAATACTCACAAAGAAATAATTTTTTTATTTCAATTCTTTCTTTTCCTTTTTTTGACATGAGGACTAAATTAAACCCCCTTTTTTTTAGTGCATGACTACTGCGTACATTGCGATTTATAGGGTGTCCGAGATCACCCCTACCAGGCGTTTTTCACGATCGTATTAGGTCCAACGAAGTCTAGGACCGCGGTGTTGAATACGGAATCGATCCCTGAGGAATCCAAATTTCAAGGCCCTCTCCCCTCCCTTAGGGTAGTAAAGGGGGGTCAAGATTCTAAATGTCGGTGATTCCGACTGAATTACAATTCAGTTTTATTAGCTGACAAGCACGAAAAATTTCACTTGATATCGACCCTTAAGAAACCAAAATTGGTCCCCTTTAGGCCTAAAAATTATTTTCTACAGAAAGAGACAGTACCCCACGCCTCAGTTTCTCTTTTGCTGCAAAATTGACAAAGATTCTCCGAGAAAAGATGGCCCCCAAGTAATCGACCCAAAGAAATTGGTATTTTATGGTCCCCAAGCTCCCCCTAGCCGGCCGTCAGGGGTGAACAGGGGAGCTCAATTTTTAAAAGTTGGGGTTCCTTTCCAAATCGCAAGTTGATTACATCCAAATTGACGAGTACAACAAATCCAAGAGTTCAAGTTACACCACCCAATGCTCAGAAGTGACTCCCCGTAAAAACGGACGGTGTCCCTTCAATTTTGATCTTTGGTTGCAAAATTGATGCAGTTTCACCGATAAATTAATTGGCGTCCTAGGAAATAGACACAAAAATAAAAAACCGGACTTTGATGGTATCGGAGCTTCCTTGACTCCTCTTGCTGTAAAACACCGAGGATATTACCTTCTTCCACATACTCTACGTCAATTTTAGGGCCGAAGAGCAATTATGGAGGGGGCACCGTTCCCTTCTTTAAGAAGTTACTTTTCGGCGTTGAGTGGGTCAACTTGAACTCGAGGGGATCGATGAAAGTTGCAATTTGCTGTACTCTTCTGTCATACTCTTCAATTTGGATACAATCAATTTCCGATTCTAATCGGAACCTCGACCTGCATAACTGAACCCCCCCCCCCCCCCCCCCCNGGGGGGGGGGGGGGGGGGGGGGGGGGGGGGGGGGGCTCCAGGGCCATAAAATTCGAATCCCCTGGGGTCGAATACGAGGAAGGCCGTCTTTTCTTAGAGAATCTTAGTATATCTCAAAAGGGAAATTACGGAGGGGGTTACTGCCCCTTTCTGTAGAAAATCATTTTTAGGCCTAAAGTGGACCAATTTCGGATATTTAGGGGTCTATATGAAGTGAGATTCTCTGTACTTTTCGGTTCCAATGCAGTTTAATCGCAATTTTGTCGGGAACTCCAACTTTTATGGTCGTAAGTACACCATTACACCCCCCCCCCCCAAGGGGAAATAGGGGGATTACGGGAGCATGATTGCGGATTCCTTGGGGTCGATTCCCATTCAACCCCGCTGTCCCGGACTTCGTGCGACCTAAAATAACCGAGAAAGAGGCCTTGTGTGGGTGGTCTGAGACACACTGTATGTTTTCAACCAATTGGAGATTAATATCTTGCCCCGCAACTTTGGTGGTATTTTTTCGTTAAAATGCGATTTTTTCGAAACAAGTTGGAATTCAAGATGATTTTTTCTGACTCCTAAAACAATCAGCAAAGAACGGACACTCGAATCCGCGGTTACTTTCATTGGCGGAGACCTCATAACTCCAGGAAAATTCACGTTTACTCTACATAATCCCACAAAACTCTGTGACACTCATTTTTCGCCACGCCTACGTTAGTAAAGAGGGCCCCTGGCCCTCTGAAACTGACTGGAAAATATTTCAAAGCCACATATGAACTCATTAACAACTCAGTCCAAATCAACTACCGCAAGAGGTTTTAGACAAGGAGGTTAAATCACTAATAAAAGTAATGTCCGAGGCTGTCAAATGAAGCATGCGGGGCGCCGATGGCTTCCACTAACTCCAAAAAACATAGAGAATTAGAGAATGAAGTTACCTATAGTAAAAAATTCTTGTTTGCTTCGTTTGTTACCTGAAGTCTTTATTAGAAAATTAGAATGTGGTATTTATTTTTATCATGATTTCAGATAACATGATTCATGATACACCGATGATGAAAGGCCTACAATGAAAGATTGACATTGGCGGTTTTCGCATGATTTGGACCAAGCCCTCCCTCCTCCTCCGACAAAGGATTCTGACCTAAAAAACAAACATTTTCACCTTATTTAATGAATTTATCTAACCTCCAAGGGTATTTTCAACCAAAAATCTCAAAATTGAGAAAATGGACGTAAGCCGTTTTTGCACCATACAATTCAATTAGTCATGCTCAAATGAGTTCAGATATGTTATCTTTTTTTTATCTCATTTTTTAGCATTGCTATTTCTTGACTCTAAACTAAATTATTCACTTGTTCTTCTTTCATAGATAACAAATTGTCAGAGATGTCAGATTTATCTCTATTCACAAAGTTCGTACTTGAAAGCTGTGATGGCAGATCAAGACACAAGTGATTGGTTTTGGATGTGTGAAAATTGCTACATATCTTCACCTGTACAAGAGCAGACATTGTGCTTCTTCAGAATTCCTCAAAATGGAGGCCTCTTCGAGCATGAGAGTAAGTGATTCAAGAGCATCTTTCAGTTACGTACTCAATACATTCTGCGATTAGGGACTACCATTATTTTCTGCCTCCACTGTAAGAGCTTCTATCTGCATAGGAATACTAATGGCGTGTAAAGTTGTTTCGGAAATGAGCCAGAAATAGTAGTGCCTCAGAGAAAAATCTCTTTGAGGTGTGCATCAGTGTTGCTTGTCACCCTCCAGGTGAACTGGTAGTTCTTGTCATTTAGTAGTAAAGTATAACCTTTGCATTGCATTACTTCATTTCATTTCATGTTATGGGAGTATTCCAGTGTTAACTAATGCAGTAATCAGGTCGGAGAAAGACTGAGTCAGCATCAAGTAGGTGAAATTGAAATGTTTTTATCTATATACGAGGTTTTTTAAGACTAGGTAAACGTTAGGGTGTCCCACTTTGAGGGTCACCTCCAAATTTTGATGATGGTACTCTCTAAATCGTTGACTTCTTTCATAAAAATAAGATTTCACTAAAGAAAAAAATTCTAAAAAAAATTTTTTATTTCTGTGATAAGTTTTTTTTTGTACTTACTTATATTTGCATTTGACGAATTAAGAAATTTTACTCCCTGGCGTAAGGAAAAAGCAACAGCCGCAATATCTCGCGAATCATTTGGCCATGAACGTGAACCAAATCCTTCCTCCCATCCTAATCTTAGCGGCCTGCGACCGAGCATTTCCCTGATCCTCNCTATTCAGGTAGTTAGTCAATGTAAGTGCTACCAGAGGATAAAGGAAACGCTCGGTCGCAGGCCGCTAAGATTCGGATGGGAGGAAGGATTTGGTTCACATTCATGGCCAAATGGTTCGCGAGAAATTGCGGCTGTTGCTTTTTCCTTAAGTCAGGGAGTAAAATTTCTTCATTCGTCAATATAAAAATTCGCAAATATAAATAAGAACAAAAAAAACTTATCACAGAAATAAAAAATAAATTATAGAAATAAGTAGGTAGATAGAAAAAAAAAAAAAAAAAAAAAAAAAAAAAAAAAAAAAAAAAAAAAAAAAANAAAAAAAAAAAAAAAAAAAATTTAATTTCAAAGAATGGTTACATTCAACACAACTTGAACATTTTTGAAATTCCAACTCTATTTGGACGCATTTTAATGCTTTTCTGACGAAAATTTTAGGAATGAACACGGTGTTTTCATTTAAGCCTCTACATTAAAAGAGATGAATATCTTCGATGGTCTCAAACTTCTTCTTTTCTTGCACTTTCTCATCTTCTGTCTCCTCTTTCCCTCTCTCTTTTCTTCCTTTTTTTTTGCTTTCAGGGGGCTTGAGTCCTCCCCTTGGCTACGTGCCTGGCATTCTGCTACATTTGGTCTGATTTTCTCAGGGCATGTCTAACTCTCATGTCTTCTATCAAAGAATTTCAAACCAGGTTAATTGAAATTGGTCATTTTTTAATTTTTTAGAGAAGAAATTATCTCAGTGTTGATTGAACCTCATTAGTTTCCTTTTTTTCTTTATGTTTTTTACCCATTCAGTAATATTTACCGCCCTGCATTTTCTAGGTTCATTGACATCTGGAATTAATCTCATCCCATCAGGAATTCAAGCGGCATCACAACCTGTACTTAAGCCTTCTTTAAAAGTTCATTTTCATAGCATATTTTGTACTGTTTCCAATTGGTTAATATCTCTCAAAGCTCACTCACGAATATATTGTAATCTACATAGTGTAGGAATATTTACTTTTTTGTTTTTTTTTGTAATATTATTACTCAGCATCTTCTTAGTTTATTGGTTTAGGCCTAATCCATGTGAAAATTTAGCATCAAAAAATGAGGCTGTTGCCTCTAAAATAAGGAATTCATTTCATTCCCTTGAAGAAACTTTCCCTCAGCAAAATATCGACCTTTGGGTCAACTTTGCATCAGGTTTCCAAAACATAGCTGAGAGTAATGAAATTTCTCCTGCTGTATTTTTAATTCTACATTCTAAAAACACGAAAACATCTTTTTGCATTATCAACCAAGTCTGCAAGCTTGCGCACCTACATTTGAAAGTTGACTCATCACCTTTGGTATTAGATGCTGTTCAGCTACAAAACAAGTACTTTGAACAAGGTGATTTCATTTTAGATATGGAGAAAAATATGTTGTCTCGAAAAATATCCGTCATAAGAAATTTACATATGATGCCAGGAAAATTAGCCGAAGGCCTTCACGGCCTGACAGACGCGTACAACCCATTAGTTAAAAAAGTAATTTATTTAATGTCCATACCTGTCAATCAGTCTTATTACTCCAAGAATGTTTTTGAATTGGCTGAAGATGTCCTCCACCATTCTTGGGTAGATGTTCATGAGGAAAAACTTGACCCACTCTTAGCACGACTCACCACCAATGTTGTTTGGATTGAAGATGAAAAGAAGTTCCCAGAGTATTGTTAGCATCTTTCTTCACATGTCCTCTTTCTATCAGGCAGTTTTCTTTTAATAGAAAATTGAATCTGCGTATACTCAAATGCAGCTCAAATAACCTCACACGGTTCGTTTTAAAAAAATTTAATTTTTTCGAAGACCAACGATATATTACGATAATTTTTTTTGATAATAACGTCAGGGAAAGTCTCTAGATTGAGAAACTGAAGACCGCAAAATCGTAAGTGGGGCCTTTTCCTGTTTCCGTGTCAACAATTTCCTGCAAGAATTTCCGTTAAATGATGGCCTTAATACGGACAAATTACGCAGGATTTCAGAAGAGCACGGAGGTAGATGTCTGAAATACGAGTATGTTAAGTGTTTGCAAGACTTAGAAAACGTCGTGAAATCGTGTTTTTCGAGCGAACATGTCCCTAAATTTACGATTTATATTCAAATATTTGAGAAAAGTTTCACAGATTTAGAGATACTCGACGCCAAAAATTCGTACCGTAATATACCATGTGCCTCAATTCTGCGTCGAGCATCAAAGAGAATTGGCCTTATGTGCCTCAATTCTGCGTCGAGCATCAAAGAGAATTGGCCTTCTTTAGTGAACAAGCCATTGAATCAGTGCATGCAGATTTTATAAAAACATGGAACAAATACTAAGTTGATAAATCGCACCCAAGCTACTCCCGCAGGTTATTACAAGCCGTTTGCGAATATGACAGCTCACATTTTTGAAAGCTTTTTTTCGTATATTTTCCTTCAATTCTCGATAGTAAGCACAACGGGTCATTAACCAATTAAGAACAGCACATAGGGGGGATGTGGTACCGGAGCGGGGATTGCTGCTCTGGGAGGCCATGGGAAAAGAGGGGCGGGAAAGATTTCATTCAATTAAAAACTCAAAATGTCGTTTTACAAAAATACACAAACTTAAACCTAATCTTCTCCAAAAATCGAATCTTAAAACTGAAAAAAAAAGAATTTCCAAAATATCTGTTTTCAGCTGATTTATTGTCAACTTCTTCAGTATTCATTAGCTACACGCAAATTAAAACAAAGACGGAATTAATACTGAGTACTACATTTCAAATTCAGACTCTAGCGTAAGGTGGGAACAGTTTTAGTGTATTTTTTTTTATTTTTATTTTAGTTTTGACCGAGGTGATTTATTCTTTATCTTCTGTGTGAATTAAGGAGAATTCATCTTTATTTTCTTGGGATTTAAGGGGGAAAAGTTTTGCAGATTTTACTTGCTGATTTCAAGGAAAGTGATCATCTTTTTTCAACCAAATCCGTTTTCATTAATGCTTCCACATTTATCCAGTTGATCTTTCGCGTTCGCAGAAACGGAGGTAAGGGACAATGACATATTTTGCCAGTATGTCCTATTGCCAAAGAAAACTCTGTCAGTATGCCCTTTCATTACTTAAATAAAGAGGAAAGAAAGATTTTGGTCAAATCTGTAAACTGGCATTTTCTATAATATTTTCCAATCTTAAGAAAAATCGGAAATATAGCAACTGCAAACGTTTATTTTTTCGGATGACTCGATACTATTCATAAATTATAAGCAGGTATTTTTTTTTATAATTTTTAACATAAATCAAAACTCAACGTCTTCAGACCATCGTCGTCTTCGTTCCATCGGTTACATTACTGTGCCGTGCATAACTTGGCAACATCGCATGGGGGGCCCAAATTTTTTTGGGGGGCTCCAAACTGTTGGGGATGTCTTGATACATGTTTGGAGACAACATACTAAAGTTTAAACATAATCCGAACATGGGGAGGGGGTTTTGATGGCCACGCATAGGCCTTGGAAGCTATTTCCCCCTTAAAAATCGAAAAAGTAAAAAATTAAAAAACAGCCCCACTTACGATTTTGCGGTCTTCAGTTTCTCAATCTAGAGACCTTCCCTGACATAATTATAAAAAAAAATCGCGTGTGGTCTTCAAAAAAATTAAATTTTTTTTAAACAAACCGTGCTCAGACTGATGTATTAATGATCCTCTTCAGATTTAATTTGCTTGACACAGTGACTGATCCTTTATGAATTTGCCATAGGTTATGTCCAGTTGTTTGTCAGTTATGATATAACGTATACTATTTTCACATCAATCTTTGAGGAAGTAAGCCACCAGTCTTTGCTTGAGTGCTCTTCCATTACGGAGTTTCTGATGCTTAACAAATCAAGTAAATTCATCTTATTTTGCTTATAGTAGTAATTTAAAATAAGTTTTCCAGACAGATAATTTTATAGAAAGTTTTTCTTGCCCTTCTGCCAAACATTTTCATCATCCCAGGTTGATTTTTAAAACTTAAACGTTTGTTTATCAAGGTTTCTCAACAATGACGCCAGTGTAACTTCATAATTGAACTTGCTCTGGAACCCTGCTTGTAATCAATTAATATGATGGAAAAATTTTGAATCTAAAATGGATGATTTTTTCCATTTCTATGTAATAAATTTCGGAAATTTCTCTAAATGAAGAAGCTCAATAGAAAATTCAAATCCATGAAAATGCAAACCATATCCTAAACATTTCTCTTCAAAAAATTTTTCCTGAAGATTAAGGTTTTTAATTTTATTTCAGCCTGTACTTAGACCTCTCATGATCTGTAAGTAATTTTTAAAATCAACAAATCAAGAACCCATGAACTGAAGTTTCTTATCATCTTCTGTGGCGTCCTGTGATACCAATGCTTGATTTTTTGGAAATCGGAGCTGTAGTTCAAAGTTGACTTAAATTCTATTTGTTCTTGTCCAAAAGCGGTTACTACATAGTTTCTAATCATCACTCTGTCTATTTTTTCTGAGGTGCAGATAAAATCCACGCCAAAGAAGTTAACTCACTCTTAGAGTGTGACAGCAGATCCCCCATCTCGATCCATTCATGTACTTACTCTCAGTGCTAAACTAAATACACCTCCTATCACACCTTCAAGTGCGTAAACTTCATTGCTGTGGACTCTGCTCAACTTTTATTTGCGCAATGTTCTAAGTATAGAGACTATCTTTTTAATCGTGCTTTTAATTTTTATAAAATTTTCAACGCAATTTGATGCAAAATACATACACTAGTTTCTTGTCATTAAAAGAAGTCTAAATACCTTAAGAGTTAGTTCCATGACATTTAGACATAATGTCTTTTTAAAAATTCAATTAATTCGAGAAAAGCACCTACTGGATTCGTTTTTACAGAATTCAGAGGGCATATTTCTACATTTTATGCATGTTTTATTCGTCCAATGGCAAATTATTAACCTTGCTTATCACACAAGAAGCAATGCAGACATAGCACTCTAGAAAGTAGGAGATCGTCATGGACCACTCATAGAGTAGAGTCACAATGTTCTGGAGTGCCAATGAAGTCACTTTTTGAGGCTGTTTTGTCCAGTACTTCTGAGACTAGTGTGCGGCGACTGGGAATGCTGTATGCGCGGGGTCCCAGGTCTGGTCTTCCCTCAGAAAGTACAGGTAGAAAATTGATTTCTTAAAAACCGGGAGTGTTGTACATTTTTTAATTTGTTATGACTTCGGTGAACACAATTTGCCAAAATTCGCGGAAATAATTATTGATTCAAATGAATAAATCCCAAAAACCACTCGCAGCCTGCAATTCTTCAATTGAAAAATGCCAAACGGTTTCCAGATGGCTCCCACTTTCCAGCGAACAAGGGGCTCGGAATGGCCTGTCCATGGATTAACTTCATTGGCGCTCCAGTACATTGTGTCTCTATCGTACTCTATGGGACCACTAGACAAAGTGTGAATTTATACATTATGATGCAAATTATCTCATCAAAATTTCAGGGAGAAGCGATATGTGCAAAAAAAATTATTGGAAGTAACTCCTAACCGACATATTGACGTGTTTCGATATTAATTCAAACTTCCTTCTCACGAAAAAACCATAATCATCTGGCATTAATGAGCACACTCAATGTCGCTGAAAGTCTTTGTGGTATAAAAATATGGTAGCCTTGATCTCGACGCTGCAGCCCAGCTGTTGCATGTTGTTTACATCCCGAACAATAGAGGATGGGAAAGGAACACTGCTTGAGTAAGAGGCCTGCCAAATCCGTTGCAGTGTGCGATGTAATTCATGTAGAATCTTCATATTCAAATATGGAATCAGAGCCAAGTAAAAATGTTAATAATATGCTAGGATTTTAGTTCAGTAATTTTCATTGTGCGAATCTCCTTGTCTGTGAAATTTTGAGGAGAAAATATCTACTAGAATGCTTTAATTCATATTTTGTCTAGTGGACCATTGTAGATCATCTCTCATGAAAAACAAAGTAATGGTTAGGTTAGGTTAGGAGGCTAGAACAAGCAGCAGGCAGGCACGTTTCTTAATTGCAAAATGAAATTTAAATTAATAAAATCCTTTCTTTTTCCGATCTGTTGTCTTTCAAATTAAGATTATGAATCTGTTTTATTTATTTTTTTTTTTTTTTTTTTTTTTTTTTTTTTTTTTTTTTTTTAAAATTTTATAAATACTTTTGAGTGCATTTTTCCTTCTGATTTTATTCATAGAACTTGAATATTAATTGCATTATTTTTGGATGGTTTAATTTTAACAGTTCCTGGCTTGTATCAGGCATTCTGAAGCTGGATCTAATCTAGCACAGAGAAACCCAGCTATAGCATGTCAAAACTGAGAAGAAGAGATTTGAAGTTACAATACACCATAAAAGTTCAAAAATTAATCTTGAAACCTTATATTTCTCATCTTGGAGTTGTTGAAATCCATTACAACAGCTATTGTATGTATTATCGTACCGGTGGCTAAGAAGCGAAACCATGTATCTCCACGGTAACTTTGCTACGTGACAGACTTCTGTAATAATTATTTTTTTAATAAAACTAGTCAACATAATTTGTTGAAAACTTTCTTGACTTATCTTCTCGCTTCTTAGCAAAATATGCTGTGTAAATTTCAAGCTCTAAAGTTGGTTCCTTTCTCTTCGGAGAAATAGGCTCAGAGTTGATATTTTGAAACACCACAATAGAGATACCTCGTTTCGCACATGCACGATTGCTGTGTCACTATAAATTAAATTATTTTATACTGTCTGTGCTACATTAAATTATATTTTACCTGATGAGTATATGACACTCAAGATATTCTTGCAAAAACTCATTTAATGATCAGAACGAATTACGATTATTTTCAATGGCGCCATCTATAACCAATGAGCACCTCTTTGGAGTCACTCTATAGGAAGGAGAAAATAAATCTAGTTCGAAAATTAAAACTTTAATTCAAGAACAAGTTTTTTTTTCTTTCTTTCTTTTCGATTTTAGACATAGAACCACAATGTCTTTACAAGTATTAACGGTAATGCTTAAGTAGAACAAGTTTAAGTAAGAGAATAAATACACAAACGGGAAATTCAGATTAAATTATGGCGAGTAAGCTCCTCATTCAGAAAACACATCATAGATCAAAGCATTTAAAAATATCGTAGAAAACATCTGATATTGAAAAATTCGAGAAGAGCTAGATTTCGAAACACTTATCAAAACGAGAAAAACAAAAAAAAACCTTCATTGGCAATCAATTTTCGACTCAATTGTAGGATTCAAATGTTCATTACAGCAAGAAGCCTTTTTTTACATGAACCAAAAATAATACATTTCTTTTCTTTTCCAATACAGCAATAAAATTTAACATGGAAGAATGATATTATAGACGAATGATTTTATACTGTAACTTTATAACAAGTGAAGATAGAATTTGATCTTGCATGGATTTGAAAGTACAAAGGCTGTCCCAAAAGAGCTAATACTGGTGCTGTAACTTTTGAACTAAGGCAGCTAAATAGGTGATTTTGGTTGCTTTAAAAAGGACAACTCAATTTCTATTGAATGATACCAAGGCTTAAAAATGCGCATAGTTATGAAGGTTTGAAAAAAAAAAAAAAACATCTTTTTACCCTACTGATGACTTAAAAACACTGCTCTGGTGCTGTCTGATTGCAGACATAATCAAAACATTGAGATTTGAGTCGTCTCGCGATATGTCAAGACCTGTGCTCTCAGCTTTCTTATTTTTCTAGACTCAAATCTCAATGTTTTGGTTATGTCTGCAATTAGACAATACCTAAGCAGTGTTATACCTAATATAAACGCAATTGAGTCACTTAATGAACATTAGAATGCCAGGAAGTTTGCCGAGGAAAGAAAGCCTTCACATTAAGACATTTTTGCGTCCTGCTTTAACTGTGATCAAGACTCTTCTTTTAACTGTTTCTAAATTGCTGGGAAAATAAGAAGGGTTACTCGAACCAACTTGTTTTCAAGCGTCCTTGAGACTTTAAATAATTCCTTACTTACTATATTTGTCTTCTGACTCTTAAACTGATAAAAAGAAGATTAAACCATATTCTGAATAAATTAATTTATGAAGACTTGGGGCTATTAAATAAACGAGGTAAAAAATTAATGGATGACATAAACTGATAACATAATGCAAAGTGAGAATTTAGTAAGTGAATAAAATATTGCTTTACTAATAGTTATGCGATGGTTGGTGATTAATGCATATCACCAACTTAGTCATTAGGTTGCTGCCTTCCTGTAACGTTACAGGTATGCATTATTTGACATTTTAAATTGGTAGTGTGCATCTAATAACTTAAAACCCTTTTCTATCACAATGCTAGTTTGCCACTCATGCTGTTTTTCCACCTACACCCTCCATCATTCGACGGCTTTAGCCAGAATCCGCCAGACTGCATTTACAATGTCTAATCTCTTCTAATGTTCTACAGGAAAATAAATGACATGAGGCCTTGAAACTTCCTGCTTTACCCTCCCTTGAGTACAGAAAATATAATCATAATATTTCTGTAGAAAAATTCAATGGTTCTGTTGTTTTGAAAATTGATTAGTTTTTTAGAACATAAGTAAAACATGGATTTAAGCAACGTATGATGTAGTTGAGCTAGTTCTGGTAAACAAGACTCGATGGCCGCCATATTTTGAATCAGAACAACATTGCATCGATCAGTTCCATGTTTTCAGCTACTTGCCATTTTTATCAAATTTTGAGATCGCATTTCTGTTGTCTTGAGACTGGAGAATGCACTCACCAAATTTGACGAACAAATTCAATGTGATATGAACGAGGGTTTTTTTTGAGGAGAGATATTCGCATTAAATACTGATATTGAAACTGCACTCCAATGCGATATTTTTTCTCTAAAAAAACCATGCCTCCTTTGTGTTGAATTGGATTGTAAAGGAAAATGAATCTGAATATACTGAAGACAGTCTCGTGACAGCAGGGAAGCAATCTCAAAATTCAATAAAAATGACAGGTAGCAGAAAACATGGAACTAATTGACGCAATAAATCACTAGTTGTTCTGACACAAAATATGGCAGGTATCAAATCACCATAATTCCATCCAACTATGAGTCCAATTTAAAGTTGTGACCGAGTTTTTTATAATACATACTTATAATAAAAGATCATAATTGACAAGAGCTTTGCAGAGAAATTTACAGGAAAGAGGTAGTCGTTTGTAAGAGAAAAAAGGAACTAGTAAAACAAAATTTCATGAGTCACGATGTACAATTGTCTTAGATCATCATATTGAAACCAGAATGTTTAACAATTAATCTCTAACTGACCATGAGTATTATATCAGTTCCTAGTCTTAGTTAGAAAAGGGATAGAGCAAAAGGAATATGAGCTTTAAATTTGAGTTTATTAGAAAAAGAAGGACAATAATACTTCATGGTAATTCAAGAGACCAAGTGGCCACACTAAGGAGAGCATTTACCTTCAAGGAGCCGCGTAGTAATTTTTTGACAGATCTCTTGCGACTAATTTCTGATTCTAATTGTTTAGCACACTGCTGTGCTCGTTTTGTGATATGAGTCGGAATACCACCTAACCTGGCAGCATTAAAACCATACGATTTTGGACAAGCGCCTTCTCCAAATTTATACAAAAATATGACTTTCTCTTCAGTAGCCTCATCATCATTATCATCATCATTCTCAACCATGCATGTCATGTGGCCAAGCATTACGTCAGGGTTCTTTCGGAAATCTTCGACAAGCGAATGATAGTGAGTTGAAAACAGAGTCCTACATTTCATTCGGCAGAGTTCTTTGAGAACAGCAGATGCAATGGCTGTGCCGTCATAGGTGGATGTACCTCGACCGAGTTCATCAATTAAAGCTAACGAGTGTGTTGTTGCATGATGCAGAATTGAAGCAGTTTCGCAGAGCTCGACATAGAATGTGCTGCCTCCTGCCATTATATCATCATTTGCACCGATCCGGGTGAATATTCGGTCAACAGGGTTGAGCTCCAAACTTTCTGCTGGAACATGGCAACCCATATGTGCCATGATTACGATTAAGCCTAGCTGTCGCATGAGAGTTGATTTACCGCCCATATTGGGTCCAGTGACTAATATGACATGAGGATCTACTCCGATGATCGTGCTGTTTGGAATAAAGGTTTCATCTACTGTGTTGCAAGGATATTTACCTTCAATCAACTTGACATAAGTCTGAAATAAATGAAGAACAAACGAGCTGTAACAATGATTGATAGAAAATCTGCGAGGCAAACATTGACATTTTTAATTGAATGGCTTATTTGAAGAAGATCGTAAGTTTTGAGAAAACATGAAAAAACTTGATTTCTCCGACAATTTTTCTTCCATGTGTTTAGAAAAATTAACCAACGTTCAACATACCAATTATGATAAGACCCTAGTCACACGAGGAGGAATGGGAAAAGCAGGCAAAAAAAAAAAAAATTGTTTGATACGCCCTCTTTCCAAAAAACTGCTCAGCACTACTAACTTCAGCAATGTTATAACTGTCAATTAGTATTCAAGTTTTATGACAATTTTAAAAACTTTAGCTCGTGCCCTTGCTCATAGTTTTCAACATGCAGAAGCACCCCTGCCCTTGAAGAGATGGCTCAAAAATGAAGCCCTTTTTCCACTGAGGTAGCTAATCAACTTATAGGAAAAGATGCGCTATAGTCCAGGCAAATAAGCCAAAAAAGGGGCCATAGCCTGCAGGAATCCTGGGTAGCAATGTTTTCAGTAAAATCTTTGTAATTTTTGACGTTGAATCCAAATTTCAACTTTGCACCAAGAGGTTCCGACCAGAAAGTTGCCAGAAATGTCCTAAAATTGCTTTCTTGGCGGACTATGGCCTGTAACTTGGGAAGAGTTTATCTGATAACAAAATAAGCCACTTTCAAAATATAAGCTCGTTGTAAAATTTTTTTTATGCATTTCTTTGCTCAGGGCAAAATTAAACCCACTGGAGGGTGCCAAACTTCGGAAAAAGAGGAGAAATTGACATTTTTTTGTGGTTTTTGACCATTAGTCCAGTCATTCTAGCTTTTTACCCCGGACAAATTAGCACAAACTTTTTCCTTGGTATATAGAGTCTCTGGGTACCCAATAAGACAGAAAAAAAAGTTTACCAAAAAATTCCACGGGGAAAGTGGTCAAATCGCAGTTTTTCAAAATGGCGGCTTACGGCGATTTTCAAAGAGGACGTACATACGGATTTCCCTTTATAACTCAAAAATAATGCGTCAAACAAAAAAATTGCAAGACATCAGTTTGAAAGATCATAAAAATTTGATTAAGAATCATGTACAAAACTTAGGCTTTACTTTTTTTTTTCTTTCCGAATTTTAATATGTAAAAACAACAACTGGCAAAATCTGCTGAAAATTCACGATTTTTCGGGTTCTTGACCAATTTTAGGTCAAAATAATTAATTTAAGGTTAAAAACAACGGCACCACTGAAAAGTACGCTAAATTTTACATAAGTATACCCATTCATTTTACCTTTTCATCTTATATGACCTCATTGTGAGACGAATCATTCAAAAGTATGAAGTCAATATTTAACAACAAATGCAGATGTTTTTTTCCGTTTCCAGCGCTTTCGATCAATTATTTTTCCACAAAAGTATATTTTATATATACTTTTTAGAAAGGTGATAAAATTTTCAAGACGAATAACACACTGGTTTTCCTTTAAATTTTACAACATGTACCTGAAAAGCGTATTTGGGAATTACGCTGAAAACTGATTTCTCTAGAAATTTCAGAATTTCAACGATTTTCGGCTTCTTCACAGCTGGAAACTGAGAATACGATTCAACGATGGTAATAATCGTTTAGTGCATAAAATTTCCCAAAAATTGCATACCTAAAATTACTGCTTCGAATTTCTTAAAGAGGGTTAGATATGACGTTAAAGTTGTCTATTGGAAAACCCAGCTGCTCGTTTACGAACATTTTTCTTAACATATACCCAAACTTTTCAAGTTTATTAATTTTTGTTTGAAGTAAATTTTACGGTACCAATGTAATGGCACATGAAAGTCAAAAAAATGTCAATGAATAAATATTTGATGGTATTTAAGTGTACTTAAAAGGCAATTTTTGAGACGGTAAAAATTTACAAATTATTCAATAACAAGGCTTTGCCTTAGGTTTTTGTGGTTTTTCATGGCTGCAAACAATTTTATTCATCAAACCATGGTAATCAGCGAAAAGCTGGTACAATTTTATGTAAGAAATGTACCTTCATTTGTATTTTTGGCGTCTCTCGTGAAAATACAGAGGCAATGTTGAAAAAAAGTGCAATTTGCCCGAAAAAAATTTTCCCGCTGTTTTTCTTATTTTTCACGTTTTAAAAGGAGTTTAAGAAAGAAAACAAGGTGCGAAATGAAATTCATGAAATTTCCTACAACATAGGGCAATTGAAAGTTGCCGGAGAACCTTTTAGAGGGGTCATAGCACTGAATTTTGGTTTAAAAAAAGTTTTAAAAAAAATGATGAAATGTAATTTTTTAGTTATTTTTGAGATTTTACCGCTTTAAAGTGAGCTTTAAAGTTAAAATAAATGATGTAACTGAAAAGTACGTTAAATTTTGGTCTAAAATGGTGTGTTCGACATCCTTTTAAGTAATTATATTTGCCTGTAGGATAATTTCTTCTGGGATCAAAAATGACATTTTTCTGAAAAAAGACCGTTTTTAGCTCCATTTTCCTAATTTTTAAGCATTTTAAAAGTGTTTGATCAAAAAACCACTGTGACCACGTAAAAGTACATAAAATTTACAAAATTTCCATAATTTTTGGGTTGACACGGCTTTATTTAAAATTGTAAAAAATGGCAATATTTACAGAAAATTGAGTTTCTATGCAAAACACCATCCCTGAAAAGATCATATCAATACAGCAAATATTCCATCAATTTTGAGAAGTTATTTAAATCATTTCTGGAGAGCAAAAATGAATTAACGTAATATAAAATAAATAATAGGAGGGAAAACTGACCCACCTCCTCCTCCCTGCTTTCTACAAAGTGCGCAAATGGATATATGACCGCCAGTACGGAACTAACGGATACTTCACGCATACAAAGTGAGGACAATTTTCATCATATTTGTGCATACACTCACATAAAAATATACGAATAGGACAGAGCTTGGCGAAATCTGTTCATTCAAGGGTTTCTAAAAACATTGCGGAATGGGACATCCATGGACACCATGGGACATCATGGGACATATGAGGGAAGTTATGATGCGAGCACAGCCGCCGCGCCGTGAAGCGCTTTACGTGAGGGATTGGGTTGTGTAATGGCGGCAGCTCGGGGAGCGGGTCTTTTTGCGTCAATGAACTAATAGTAAAACTAATAATTATTAGGATAAATTCAATACACCATTGAAGGTTTGGAACTTTTGGGCGGCCAACTGTAGCATTAGCGCGATCAAGGATTATAACGAAAGTACAGATGTCAGTGGGGGGCGGGGTTGTAAACAGGAAAGAGGGGTATGCACCTATGCTTTACGTGACGTACCGCAGGCTCGTGTGAAATGAGGAAATCTAAGTAAATAAGAAGGAAAATAATAAAAACATTAAAATTTTACTGCCCTCGGCATCTTGTCAGCCGAATATGCGACATTTTGCACATTATTTAATATTATTTAGCTTTCAATAGACCGAGTAAAAAATTAGTAGAGCTTTTATTTCATTACTCGGCTTTATATTTCTTAATCTGTGTCAGTTAAATATTCGACGATACTAAAACAATTGCATTTTAACACTTATACTCTCAATTAAACTGCTTGGAGGACGAGGCACATAAGTGCTATTTCGAGAAAAACATGTTTAAAGTTGCTAACTATTATACACAGCCTTATGGCAGGAAGAGAGTTCAAACTCACATTTTGATGCTTAAGCATTGGATGCTTCCGGTGAATTTTTCACAACTTTATTTCAAACCTAGAATTAGTTGGAACCACTAAAATGTGTCATATTTTTCGAAACCTGCACTTATGCGCCTTGTCCTCCGAGCCCTCAATTGCTTTTTTACCCTGTCTTATTACCTTATATTATAAATTTTTAAACCGAAACTGACAAACTTTCGTCAAAATACTAGGGTATACTAGGGTAAACTTTCGTCCAATGTCATGAAAATTAGCCGATAAACAGATATTTTAAAAATTAAGGCCGCCATCTTTTTTCCACCATCTTGAATTTTGATTCAGACTGAAAGTAACGTCAAATTCGAATTTACCAGATCAGAATACCAGGATACACCGAGTTTCATGAAAATCTGCTGATAAATAGGTAGTTTTCAAATTGTGCCCGTCATCTTTAATTTTAAAAAATCATAGCCACCACCTTCTTCCCTCCATGTTTGATTTTAATTCTGGTTAAATTCGACATCAAATTCAAATTCTCTAGGGCTAAATACAGGGTTATACTAAGTTTCATGCAAATCAGGCAATAAACAGGTATCGAACAAGTTATTGCCGCCATCTTGAATTTTGATTTAGACTGAAAGTAACGTCAAATTCGAATTTCTTAGGTCGACATACCGGGATACACCAAATTTCATGAAAATCTGCCGACAAGTAGGTGTTTTGCCGTTTTTTTTCTTAGAATCTTTAGCTGCGATAGTCCAAACAGTGAACGGATCAGATATGCCCCCCCCCCCCCCCCCCCCAGTTGGCCGACCATCTTTGCTCTAAGGTGCTTCTCCCTTTACTATGTACCATGACTATCAAATTAATAACAAAATTTATTTCAAAAATAGTCGAATATACGCAAAAAGGGGCACATTAATCGAAATTCAAGCCAAATTTTCCAAAACGTAAAAAATGTCAAATTTGACACCATTCCATAAAGGCCCTATAAAGGTCTTATACCTTCAGTTAAATTTTGATGTAATATGTGTTTTGAAAAGAAAATTTCACGCTCTTTCCATTGGTGCCAACAGTTTTGAGAGAAAGAATTCTGCCAAAGCTGTATCTTAAAAGTTACAAACCGAACTTGAAATTTCAAGAAAATTCTAGCCTTGTTTTTCGGTGTCTGACCTCGCAGCTCGGCACCAACAAGTCAAAATTAAAAAAAAACTTATATATGTTTGTAAGCAGAATTTCATACTCTAAAAAAATGACAAGAATGATTTTTTTCACCGGATGCACTAGAATCACGCAAAATCGGGGAAACGCTGACAAAGTCAACAATCAATTTATACGTAATTTTAGACGGCCGCCATTTTGTTAAAAGCAATTTTGACTGTGTTCACGAGGGGGGCTAATGGTTAACTTTTTTGGGGGGGCTCCAGACATGTTTTGGAGCGCTTTAAAACACTAGAGAAGTTTGTGCTAATTTTTCCGAGGTTAGACCCTTTTTTTGGCTAGAATGACTGGACTACATTGCTTCCTTATTCCGTCTGTCAAACGATCTATTGACAGATGAAGTGAAGTTGATGGAAATTTATAATGAATTGCTATATTGCTAAGATTATGTAAAATTGTTTTAGGGCGGTTTTTGACCATTATTCACTTATTATCCGTTACTATGTACCAAATCTCTTGGGTGGTGTGAAAGAAAGTCATAGCGATATTATATTTGTTACTTAATTAATTAGTTATGTCACATAAAATGAAGTTAATACATTTTATACAGAATATCACACTCATTTCATACTCTGAATTTTTCGATCCATACGGTTAGCGTGAAGCTTGATTTCCTGGCACAACTGCAATGCCACTATCATAGTAGAGCGCATTAGAGGATACGACCCTCTGACTTGTTTACACCTTATTCTAGTGACAAAAGTTGTGCCGATAAATTATTATAACTTTTTTCAATTGATTCTGATTCATTCATCTCAAATTACAAATTGCGCAGTAAAGAAGTAAACATATAATAAGTGAATAATGGTCAAAAACCGCCATAAAACAATTTGACATAATCTCAGCAACATTGCAATGCGGTTACTTCCTTATTTTTAACTCGGTGCACGTAATTCATTGTAACTTTCCATCAACTTCACTTCATCCGTCAACAGATCGTTTGACAGACGGGAAAAGGAAGCAATGGTCAAAGACGGCAAAAAAATGTGAATTTCTGCTCTTTTTCCGAAGTTCGGCACCCTCTGATAGGTTTAATTTTGCACTGAGCAAAAAAAAAAAGCATAAAAACAATTTTTTAGAAAATTTAACGAGCTTAAATTTTGAAAGTGGTTTATTTTGTCATCAAATCAACTCTTCCCAAGTTACAGGCCATCCAATTTCAGAGCATTTTTGCCAAATTTGGCAACTTTACGGTCCGAATCTTTTGGTGCAAAGTTAAAATTTGGATTCTGCATCAAAAATTACATAGGAAACTCTCAAATCATTGCTACCCAGGATTCTTGCAGGCTCTTTTTCTGATTTGCCTGGACTATGAAGACTAATTTTGAAAGAACTGAGTGGTAGTTGGATACGTTCACCCTAGAAGAATCATATTCCATCAAAAACTCAATTTCTGAAAATTAGATATTAATGCCCTTCATCAATTAAGGATTCCAATAGAGACTTAATGATGGGAGGAAGAAGAAGGAAAATCTTCGAACTATGTGTCACATCGAATGAGATGGCTTACCTGCTTATTTCTTTGAGCTGGCTCAAACTTGGGAATGCATATGGTTTCCTCTGTTCGACAATACTCGGCTAAGGAGACTAAAACGTCGAGAACAGCTGTGCACTCCACTGCAATATTCCATGCTTCCGACCTGAGAGAAGAGGAAAATATAATATTTTACAAAACAGTCATTGAGACAAACTAAAATTTGAGGATCACTAGACCTAAGGATACAGATAAAGTGGATTTCTAAAAGGAGTGATGCCATTATCTCAATTTGGAATTTTAGCCACTAAGGTCCTTTTTCCCGTGGACAGACACAAACGTTTTTTTCTTAAGACTTTCCTTTCCTTTCGTTGGATTTCTTCTGCTCAATGACACGTAATTGAGGACACCGCACGAATAACAGCCTTTAATTGGAAACAACATTGTGAGAAGAATGCACTAGAGTTTTGTATACAGGGTGTCTCACGAAAAACGAGTCACCTTGAATATCTGCCGAACGCGTCGGAATTTCGAAAAACGGTATAAGACGTGTTCGTTTATATCGAGGGGGACACCTTTTGGCTTATTTGACATTTTCCCAAACCGCGGGAGGGGCGCGGGGTGCCCCACCCGTAAGTCGAACTTTTCAAATGGCACCCCTACTTTTTTATTTCAGAAATCAATTCTACGCAAAAAAACAAGCCACCCTGTCCAAACCGAATGTAAATCGGACAATTTTTCAGTGATTGGCAGAGGTTGAAACATTTTTTTCATGCTCTTTTCAAAAATTTCCCACGCCCAATGGAATTGCCGTATCAAACCAAACTCTCCGCCAAAAA